GCTGTTATCTACCCTTTCAAAGAGTTGATTCCCCTCCCCTCTGTAGGCTCCCTTTAGGAATTGAAATGCTGTGATGAGGTCACCCCGCAAGGAAGGATGGGAACTGGAGGGATTTCTCCTCTGGCATTCTCCCTGCAAAACCTCTCCAGCCTGCCCCAGCCTGGCTGCACTGTGGAATTTCCCAGCACCTCAGCCAAGGGACTGCTGCTTGGATATGGGGAAACACATTCCCACATAGCACAAAGCTTCTGACACCTGGTCTGGGAACCCCTTCTGCATCCATCAGCCATCATGTTGCATTCATGACCAGTTGGTCATGCACTTATAAGGATGGATGTGAGCTATCCTTGTGCCTGGTGCAGCTGCTTAGGAACACTTTGGTGTACTCACTCATCGTGGTTCACTTGCCACTGGTTGACAAATACGCAGGTGTTCTTGGGGATGTAATAACCATTCAGTACAGTGTCTTTGGTTGTACTGCAAGAAATACGGGAGGAGAAGTTGAGAGGAGACTCGCAGCTTCGTCGTGACCTCCAAAGAGACAAAACCCAAACAGTGCTTACCTATGTGGGATGGTGAAGGGCAGGAGGGAGGAGTGCCGGAACACCTCCAGGATGAAGGCTTCTGTGTAGGGCAGCATGCCTCGGTCAGACAGCCGTGGTCTCCTCTCACAGCCGATGGTCTGATCTGTGGGGGGTGGACAGGAGGAGCTGGTTGGGGCCAGCCCTTGGTGGAGGTCCCAGCCCTGGAGAAGCAGGCTGAGGAACTCACCCAGCTCTGCCTGAATCTTCTTCTGGATGGCAGGGTACAAGGCAGCGTACATTATGCACCAAGACAGGCTGGTTGTCACGGTGTCAAAGCCTGGACCAGCACAAAAGAAAAGTGTTTAGATGCCAAAAGAAGACAGGTGAGAGGATATTTGCAGATCCCAGCACTCTCAGTGCTTTGGCTGATGACACGCAGCCAAAATTTGCCTTGGAGCAGTTCCACCATCAGCCACCACTGCAAAGCCATCTGCTCTGAGCCTATGGTCCCTCCAAAACCCCAAGCTTCCGATCCCATCTGCCAGCAGCAGATGGGGCTGCACCCACCAAAATGCCCTCACCTGCCCCAAAGAGGTCGTTGACAATGGAGATGATGCTCTCATCAGAGAGTTGGACACGGACATCCTCCCCTGTCTTCTTCTCCTGGCAGTGCCCAATCAACGAGTCCGTGACATCCCGAATGTGCTCCTGGGAAGAGCCAGAGGGTCAGAGACACGAGGGCACATGGGATGGGGAAAGCTGGAGGCAGTGAATGCCCGCAGGAAAGCAGTGAAATGATACGGTTTGAATTTTGGGTGGTCCTGTGTGGGGCCAGGAGTTGGACTTTATGATCCATGTGGGTCCCTTCTGATTTAAGGTATTCTGTGATCCTAGGTAGGTAACAAAGCCAACCCAAAGGGTGAGGAGAACTGGGGATGTGCTAGAGAAAAAACCAGCAGCTCCGGGAGCCCCACCACATACTGCAAGCAGCAGAATTAGATGTGAGCTTCCTCCATGGCATCTTGGTTTCACCAGGCAGAAAGCAGAGCAAAAGCTTGAATTCTGTGCCTTCTTTCAGTGGCGTTAATGAATGGGATCACGACAAGGAGAAGGAGCAGTGAAGCAAGGGAAAGGTTTGCCACAGAGCAGCACCCAAGCTCTTACCTTATCAAAGGTAGTGTAATGGTTCTGGACGATTTTCTGTATGAAGGCATTGAAACGAGCGTTGACATCCTTAAAGGCAGCCATGGCACGGTTGGGAAGGTACCGGAGCAATGGGATGAAGTCAGAGGGGTTGCCAGCAGCAGCCACATCCCCAAACTCAGTGTTCATGTTCACCACGCTGAGCAGCTCCTGGTCGTCGTGGTTGTAGCGCTTGCCAAAGCAAATGGCGCAGATGACGTTGGCCACCGACACAATCAGGTAGTTGTTGGGGTCAAAGCTCTGCTTCTCCTCCATCAGCTGCAGGAATTTGGTGACCAGGTAGCTGGCCTCGGTGGTGACGTGCTCCTCCAGGAGGCAGCTGGAGGAGGCTGTGGGGCTGGCGGCGATGGAGAAGGTCTTCAGGGCGTTCTGTGCCAGCTTCCTACGGGCTTTCCAGGCATCCCCACATTCGTAGCTGAATGCCAGGCTGTGGCCATTGGAAATGTACTTAAAGCTGGGCAGGTTGGGGCGTCCCATGAAGTCTTCTGCTTGCCTCACCAAGGCTTGTTTGATGGTTTCCAGCCCGCTGAGCACCACCACGGGCCGGGAGCCGATGGTCACCTCCATCACATCCCCATATTTGCGGCTCATCTGGGTGAGCACCAGGTGTGGGTCCTTCCTCAGCTCCAGGGCATTGCCCAGCAGTGGGAGCCCACGGGGACCTGGGGGTCTGCGCAGCCCCTTGGGTGTGTGCTGCCTGCGGGTCTGGGTCAGCAGCAGGAGCAGGCAGAAAGTGGCAGCTGCCACCAGCATCTCAGTGGCTGAGATGAGACCTGGGCTGCCCACCTGTGCCATTGCTGCCTGCGGTCCCGCTGCCATCTGGAAGTGAACCTGGAGGGGAGAAAGTGCTGATGGAGAGGAGGGTCCTCCACCAGATATTGGGGTTTGAGATTGTGGGGTGATGGTGACCCCACGCAAGCCACCGGGACACCCTCGCTGCATAGAAGCGATGGCTGCAGGTGGGATGCTGGAGAGTTGGGGATGGGCAATGCTCACCTCTGGGTGCTGCTGTCCCACGAGGGCCCGATCCTGCCACCAGGTACCCGCTGTCCCTCCGAGCCTGCTTTATATGCATCGCCTCCCGCTGCCATTGGCCGGGACACCTCCCATCACGTGACCCGAAGTTGAACTGCGGCCAAATTTGTGAACATCCCCCCTCTCACCCCCCCCCGGTCCCCCACCAACCTCCCCGGGACCCCTCCTTGTTTTGCGGGGGGGACACCTGAGGGGAGCCCCGACGGGGCGGGGGGTGCCGCGGTGACACGGCGCGGAGGGCGTTCGCGGCGCCACGGGCGGTTGCGGAGACACCGGGCGGGGGATCCGGAGGTCCCATGAGGAAGGCTGTGGGGGGACATCGCGTGCGAAGCGGGCGGGAGGTTTGGGAACCTGCACCGCCCCGGTCCCTGCAGTCACGCTACCGGGGAGGTTCTTAAAGGAGCCGCAGCCCCACGCGGCTCCGCGAACACGCGGGGAGCGGCCGCAGCCCCTTCCTCACGCCGAACTCCGCGCTGCCGGCCGCACCGCCCCGAGGTGGGGGTCTCGGATCCAACCCCTTCCTCACTCTTTGCCCTCGGGGCCGGACGCGTGGCCGCCCCACGGGACTCACGTCGCGGGGCTCCCGTCCAGGTTAAATATTGGCCAGGTTCGCGTGAGAAGCGATCGTGCCCTCAGTGCCCCTCTGCCCCCAGGGGGCACGTCGGGGAGGGGGGGGGGGGGGGGGCGAGGGAACAGCACGGGGCCGCGGGGGGGATGGGGCTGCTATTTGGGGGGGGGGACGGGACACAAAGGGGACCCACCCCCAGGCGCTTGGGGACATCGCGTGCGAAGGGGCCGGGAAAAACGTGGGACGGTCACTCTCTGTCACGCTATGGGTGTGTGGGTGGGAAATGGCTTTTAAAGGGCCAGGGCGGTGGCCCCACGTCCACGAGCCCGGCCCGGGGTCAGGGCGGCGCCGGGACCGTGCGGGATCAGATTCCCCCCCCCGGCGCCGTCGGGGGTAACGGGGCTCGGTGCCAGGCGTGTCCCCAGGGCAAAGCGGGGCTCAGCAGTGCCTCCACGAGTGTCCCTACTTAGGGATGACACGGTGGCACGGTCCGGTGACAGCCGTGCAGCCGTCCCCCACAAGCAGCCTCGGAGCTGCTCGCCCCGTCTGTGCATCCATCCAGTTATACCCTCTTCCCCCCTCCCTCCCCACCCCCCAGCCTTCTCAGCGCTTCCCGTCTGTCTGAGCTCATCTCCCGTGTGCTGACCAGCACCTTCCCCACACGGAGCTGGGAGGCATCTGCGGGCTGGGACGCCTGCGTGGTGCCCATCATTAGCGCGTGCAATTACGGGGCCGGCTTTTAGCAGCGGGGGTTTTGTAACTGTTCTTGCCAAGCATTAATGAGCCCAGGCACTGCTATTAACGATCCCGCTCGAGCCAGATGTTGAAAGCCTTTATTAAACATTAGCTCGGCTTGTACCTGGGCAAAATTCCCACCGTGCTTTCCAAGGACCGGATGAAAGCTGGGGCCAGAGCCCCAAATTTTATTCCCTCTCATCAGCTTCCCTGCTGCTCTGTGCACCTGTGCATCGCACCGAGGAGGGATGCGGTGTGTCCCCATCGGGGCACGCATGGGGGATGAGCCCTCTGGGATGCCCCCAGCCTTGCCCCTGTACCCCTGCCCTATGTCAGCAGCTTCCCTTGCCCTGCCACTCCTCTCCCTGCAGCAGGGGAAGCGCGCCAGCCACTTCTCACGCAACCCTGGCCAATGGTTAACCCGAGGCCAGAGGTCCTGCCACTGATAGCGTGGGGATACAGGTGCCCTGCTTGAAAGGCTGGTGCCCTGGAGCATCTCAGAGCTGGAGGGTATATGCCTGCGTAACAGGAGTGGCTCCATATGGGCTCAGCCCCTCTGTTAATAGGTAGCCACCCATCGAGTCTTGGCTGCTGTGACCCTCAGATAAGCATCCAAAAATGTATATAAAGCCCCGTGGCAGAGCTGGGCAGCAGAGGAAGAGGATCTGGTGTGGTTCCAGAGTCTGAACGCCCACTGCCTCTCTCTGCCCAGCTTCAAGGACCTGCAGGTAGGAGTGTGTGCATGTGGCTCTGAACACAGAGGTAGGATTGAGAAGGTATTTATGTCAGCATAAGAAATTCACAGAATGTCTCTCCCATCCCTCTCATTCTCCAGCTCTCTGCTCTATTTAAAGTATCTCTTTCAAATCCTAACTCTACACCACGCTTCCTTCCAGGCGGCAATGGGGCCGGAGGAAGTGATGGTACAGGTGGGCAGCCCAGGTCTCATCTCGGCCACTGAGATGCTGGTGGCAACTGCCACTTTCTGCCTGCTCCTGCTGCTGACCCAGACCCGCCGGCAGCACACACCCAAGGGGCTGCACAGACCCCCAGGTCCCCGTGGGCTCCCAGTGCTGGGCAGTGCGCTGGAGCTGAGGAAGGACCCACACCTGGTGCTCACCCAGATGAGCCGCAAATACGGGGATGTGATGGAGGTGACCATCGGCTCCCAACCTGTGGTGGTGCTCAGCGGGCTGGAAACCATCAGACAAGCCTTGGTGAGGCAAGCAGAAGACTTCATGGGACGCCCTGACCTCTACAGCTTCCGACACATTACGGATGGACAGAGCCTGACCTTCAGCACTGACACGGGGGAAGTGTGGAAAGCCCGTAGGAAGCTGGCACAGAATGCCCTGAAGAACTTCTCCATCGCCGCCAGCCCCACAGCCTCCTCCAGCTGCCTTCTGGAAGAGCACGTCACCAACGAGGCCAGCTACCTGGTCACCAAATTCCTGCAGCTGATGGAGGAGAAGCAGAGCTTTGACCCCTACCGCTACATGGTGGTGTCGGTGGCCAACGTCATCTGCGCCATTTGCTTCGGCAAGCGCTACGACCACGACGACCAAGAGCTGCTCAACGTGGTGAACGTGGTTGATGAGTTTGGGGATGTGACTGCTGTTGGCAACCCAGCTGACTTCATCCCATTGCTCCGGTACCTCCCCAGCCGCAACATGGATTTATTTCTGGATTTCAACAAGCGATTCATGAAATTGTTGAAGAAAGCTGTGGAAGAGCACTATGAGACCTTTGACAAGGTAAGAGCTCATGGGAGCCTCACCTGCCGCTCCCCCTTTGGTATTAGCGAGTTACTTGTCCTCTTGCTGCTAATGGCCAGCTCATTTTCATAGACTGTAAACTCAATAGGGCCATTGGGTGTTGGAGGGCGCACTCACTTGCTCATATTGACGTGGGTTCTTACAGCAAGTCAGCATCACTTGTCTCTTCTTCTCAGAACAACATCCGAGATGTCACCGACTCCCTCATTGAGCAGTGCATGGAGAAAAAAGCCGAAGCCAATAGTGCCACACAGATCCCAAATGAGAAGATCATCAACCTGGTGAATGACATCTTTGGAGCAGGTATGTCTTCCCAGAGCTCTCTCAGCTCCTGCAGCTTGTCTCACTCCTCCTTGTCCAACCCCAGGCAGCCAGGCTGGGGCTAAGCACCCACCCTCCTGGCTCTCTGGTTTTCTCCCAGTAACGCCCCCGAGACCCCATGGGACATCAGCTCTGGAAAGAGGCTTTAGGAAAAAGCACAGGGCACGATTTGTAGCTTGAACAAGCTTCCAAGATAGGGTGGTTGAAGGAGATGCCTACTGACTGGTTGATGTTAGAGCAGCTCTGTGGAAACTCCCTCGATTCCCAGGAAACTACAATCTTAGCCCAACCTGACGTAACCAAGAGGTGGACAGGGAGGAATGAGAACTGAAGTTTTTAGTAAAGCTTTCTCCATCAGGATAAAAATCCAAGCCCTACTGTGTGTGCCCAGGATGTCCTCTGCCCTGTTATGTAGACCTGATCTGCATGCTCTCTGCTTTCTGCCTAGGCTTTGACACCGTGACAACTGCCCTGTCCTGGAGCCTCATGTACCTCGTGACGTACCCCCACATCCAGAAGAAGATTCAGGCAGAGCTGGGTGAGTTCCTCAGCCCGCTTCTCCAGGGCTGGGACCTCCACTGAGGGCTGGCCCCAACCAGCTCCTCCTGTCCACCCCCACAGATCAGACCATCGGCAGGGAGAGGAGACCACGGCTGTCTGACCGAGGCATGCTGCCCTACACAGAAGCCTTCATCCTGGAGATGTTCCGGCACTCCTCCTTCATGCCCTTCACCATCCCACACAGGCAAGTGCTGTGATTTCAAAGAGGGTAGAGGGCCAAGCTGGACTTAATGAAGTCCGCTGAGGATGCAGAAGAGCCACTTTGCTTCCCAAAAACTCACTGTCCTCTCTCCTCCCACCAGCACAACCAGGGACACGGTGCTGAATGGCTACTATATCCCAAAGGACCGCTGCGTGTTTATCAACCAGTGGCAAGTGAACCATGATGAGTGAGTACCTTCAAGGGCAGAAAGCCTCCTGCCCCAAGAGAAAAAGGAGCAGATGCGGTATCTGCTAAACCCGGTGTCCCCTGCATCCGTGGCCAGGGGACATCATCTCAAAATCTGATGTCTGCCATTCTAGGAAACTTTGGAAGGATCCACAGTCTTTCAACCCAGAGCGTTTCCTCAATGCTGAAGGGACCGAAGTGAACAAAGTGGACGCGGAGAAGGTGATGACTTTTGGCCTGGGGAAAAGGAGGTGCATTGGGGAAAACATAGGCAAGTGGGAGGTGTTCCTTTTCCTGTCCACATTGCTCCAGCAACTGGAGTTCAGCATCCGCGATGGCGAGAAGGCAGACATGACACCTATATATGGACTGTCCGTCAAGCACAAGAGATGTGAGCACTTTCAAGTCAAGAAACGCTTCTCCATGAAGAGCTCAAACTGAGCAGTTTATCCATAGCCCAGATATTGCCTTGGCCGCCCTTATAACAGACCTGGGTCTGGCATAACCTCACAGAACCATGCAATAAACAAAAGCCACTGAAGCTCCCGTTCTTTGTCTTGTTCACTCTCTAGTGTTTGTTCACCTTCTCCATTTCCCAGCATTTCTGGTGTTGGATATTCCATCCTGTCTGCTGTTAGCACAAAGCACAGTTATGGGGAGCACAAGCTGCCATTTGAGGGAAGGATAGGAAGTGTACCCCAAACCATCTGAACGCCTTGGGGCTGCATTCCTTCAGAATTACTCTTTGACAGCTGAAGGACAACCAACCCACGCCTCAAGATCTTGGCAGAACTTATGCCCAAAGCCTGGGTGGGGATGAGGATGATGCCATCAATGTCCAGCCAGCATCACTGCTTCTGGACGACTCAGGGGACAGATTTTCACCTATTGGAATTTACCTTCACTGTAGATGACGGTGCAGGGAATAAATTATTGGAGGTTTTGGGAAGATATCTTGGAAAAATGCTGATAGTTCTCCAAGCCCTCCAAAGACAACCGGCTTCCTTGTTTCTACGTTGTGTTTTTAATTGCCCGACTGACTTGTCCCTCTGAGATCCCATTCAGGAGCTTCAATGCCTGTCTGAGAATCTATCAGACATCCTTGCACCGGGCTGTTGGTTTTCTGGGCTGGAGCAAGGGTGACAGGGAGAGAAGAACAGGACCTTTTCCAACTCTAACCCTGAAGTTTACATTGGCTGTCAGTCAATCCCTGCCAGGAGGGCCAGATGCCTCCTCTTCTTGCCCTAGTACAGCTTGTTGTTTGTTTGCACGCAACCCAGTAGCTGGCACGCAATGACATGGGAACGAGTACAACCACTCAGTGCAGCACTGCTCTTGAACCCGTTCCCATGGGTTGCATCTACTCAACCGTAACACCAGACCCTAACCAATGAGACTTCTCTTCGGGTCCAAATATGGGTGGCTGGTAACGTGGATACACGCCTTGAGCAAAAACTTCCAAGAAGAGAGAAAAACAAAAGAGCTCCGTGGGGAAGGAAATGGGGAAGCTGATTGCCCAAGACCTCATGGAGATTCCAGCAAGAACTGGGAGGTGTTCAGACCCGTTAAGCCAGCAGGAATGGAAGGAACAGCTCTTTGTTTGCCTATGTCCAGATGCTGCCAATGGGTGTAGAGGATGATGAGGAAGGAAGAAGGAGTTTGGAGCCCAGGTTGATCTCTGCTCTCAGCACGGAGACAAATGGAGAACAAATTCTGCTTAGCTTCAGTAAGGATGCTGATGTAGATATTTCCAGCACTCTGCTGAGTCAAAAGTTCCTTTAAGCTGAGGTCACCAGCATTGGAGGAAATATGGACAGATGGCTTAGGACCACGCATGAGGTCCATTAGCCACATAGCATCTCCCCTACCTTCAACAAAACCATAGGTAAAGGCAATAGATTCATGACCCACCTGTCCATGCGGGGCATCCCAAGGACAGCCCAGGGAAGGTGGGATCATCACAGATGTGGGGATGAGCTTCTCAGCACTTAACTTGGGGGAAGACCTCCAGGACCACCCCGTCATGGTGTCGCACCACCCCGTGGTGTGGGGAGGCTCTCATGGGCTCAGCCAGCGACTCTGGTGCTGGTGCAGGAGCAGAGTCCCATCAGCTGGTGCCATTGCGTGACTCTGTCCCCCTGAGTCCTGGTGCTGGTTGCTGATAAGGCCCGCAATAAGCAAGTGCAGATATAAAGGAAGAACACTGGGATGATTTTTACCCTTTAGAGATGAATGTTTTATAGCCCCGGGGCCGATAAGTGGATTAATATTAACGTCGGTGAGGTGAAACAGCCCCTTGGTGGTGGTTCCTCCAGAAGCGTTTATCAGGGGCTGATTGCTGCCACTGGGATCACTGCTGCCTGAGGGCACTGGGGAGAACCAGGGTGAAAGTCAATGCAGAGCCGGGATGGGGAAGTGAGGGAGAAGGCAGGAGGGGAGTGGAAGGAGAGCAAGCAGGGAGCAGCAAGGAGACCTTTTGGGGAGGCTCTGGAAGGAAGCAGGGCTGCCATACAAGCAGGGCTGCTTGGACTTGCCTCCTTGGACATTCTTGGTGTGTCCTGGCAGCTCTCATCAAAGTGTTCCCATGCTGCACCCACAGCTCTGCCCTTCCTCCTCTTCCCCACCACCTCCCAATAAGCAAATCCATCGATCGTTGCCACGCCAGCACCAATTGCTCACACGACTCCTCTATCTTTGTCTTTCCACGAATTATTTTCCTCAGTTAAAGCCTCCGTTTATTCCCCAGGTAGCTTGAGATTGCCATGATTTCTTTATGGGGACCTTTATGGGAACCAGAGCTGTGATAAGCCAGGGGAGCTTTGATCACACCACGGCTAATTGCGTTTATTGGTGCTTTTAAAGTGAGTCAGCACTGAGCCATGGCCTCTTGGCTCCAGGTCCTCCTGCCAAGCTGGTGAGGCTCCTTGAGCCCACAGGAACATGTCCAGCAGGGATGGAAACCTAAATGCAGGCAGCACCCAGCTCCTCCACCTGGATGCCAGCCTTTGGAGTTCCCAATTCCCCAGAGGAGTTGCTCCAGAACTTAATGACCCTCCCCGTTAAAAGAGCGTCCTGTATATTTCTAACCCATCTCCACCTCTCTTCTTTCCCTCAGCACTCTTTGTAATTTGTAATTGATGGCCAAGCCTGCTCAGTTTGGCCAAGGGAGAAATAAATTGGCTCCTAAGCCAAGCAGGTGTCACAGAATCACAAATCACAGAATGGCCAGGGTTGGAAGGGACCTCAAGGATCATGAATATCCAACCCCCTGCCACATGCAGGGCCACCAACCTCCACATTTAACACTAAGACCACTGCTGTGACTGCCCATCCCCAAAAGAGGGGACAGCCCCTCTTTTCTCTCTTTTCTATTCTTAACCCCCATGTTAAGAATACTCTTGATGCTCGACGTCTTAAAGCTCACTTTGAGCCCCACATTTCTGAGCCACGTGTGCAGTCTGATGGTACCCGAGCGCTGTGAGCTTTGCTCCTGCATCCCTGCTGATTGAGGGACATGGTTGGTGGCAGGGTGGTGATGGGCTGGTGGTTGGACAAGACGATCCCAGTGGTCATTCCAACCTTAATGATTCTATGAGAAGGTGATCTCCAAAGACCACATCTCCTTGCCTCTCCACATTCAGGACCAAGCCAGGCTTTCCTCTTCCTTCAGCCACGGGAGCAGCTGTGGGAAGAGTGGCTGATTTCTGCCTTTTGGGGGAAGAAAAACTGCTCCCATCATGGAGCATGGCTCTCTGATTTTATCTCTCGGGGCAATGGAGCTGATGGAACTTTCTCTGGACCCCAAGCCCCAAGCTATGATGGGGTGCACAAGAAAGCAGGTGAGGGTGGAGTTTGTCCCTGGGTTGAGACAGAGCAAAGCAGTCACAGTGATAACCACATCCTGCACACCGAGGGCTGCTTGGGACAAGTGGGGGTTGGGGACACCGACCTCAATCCCAGCTCTCCTTTAGCTCCCTGCACCCCTCACCAGCATCCGGCACACTGGGAGACCCCACGGCAACCCAATCCCTTCTGCTTTAATTAAAACCCTCCTGGAAACGAGGGAACGTTCGGAAAATGAGGCAGAACCAACGAGGGGCTTTAGGGGCCGGCATACAGCACACGAAGGTCACAGGGTTGAATGCCCTCAGTGCGCACGCAGCACCAGGCAGGGCAGTGCGGGTCCCGAAGCGGCGATGCTCTCCGGAGATTTTTTGTCCCCTCTGCGTTGTCGCCTTTGGGACGTGATCGCCCTCGTGTGGCATCTGCCACATCTCTGCTCTGCGTGAACGGAACCTTTCCGTGAAAGGCTGAGCTCCTGTTCCGAGCGTTTGGGGGATGCTCATGTGGGCGATGCTCATGTGGTGGATGCACATTTGAGGGATGCCATCAGGAGGATGCTCATTCGGGGAGAGGGATGCTCATTTGGACGATGCTTATTTGGGGAGGGAGCTTTGTATCCCCACCGCCCTGGAGCTTGCAGTGCTGCAGGACCGCATCCACCTGCCTTCGTGTTCAGCTCAGCATGCAGTTGTGCTGCTTCGCTCGCAGCATTTCTGCCCTGGGGAGGCTGCATGGGTTGGTGCCCGCATCCGCGCTTTGCTGCAAAGCAGAGCTGCTCTCATTTCCTCCCAGCATCGCTCTGAGTGAGACAGAGCGTGGAGAAGGGACGCACACCAGCAAGGCCAGCCTGCAACCCAGCATCCTTCAGGGCACTGAGCTCCATGCGGGGAGCTCCGTAGCAATCCTCCCGATGCATTTAACACCATCTGGGCTGCCGGAGCTGTTGGCACCGAGTTCCCATCGGTGTCACCCGCATGGTCCCTTGCGCTGGGGGGGATGCAGGCACCGTGCCGGGCTTCCTGCTTCGCCCTACATGGCTGCACGCAGCGCAGGGCAGGAAGTGACAGCGGCTCTGCCCGTGAGCAGGCAGTGCTTGAGAGCTCGGGGCAGGGCGGCGTGATGCTGGGGGCCGTGAGAGCAGGGTGCCCACCTCCCTGCGTGCAGAACCCCAACAGCCGGGTGGGCTCCTGCAGTCATAGACTTCAAGGGAATCACATAGACTGGAAGGGAATCACTCCGCTCCCCCCGCAACGCACGGAGAGACACCCGCAGCACACCAGGCGCTCAGAACCCCCCAGCCTGACCGCGGTTGTCTGCAGGTACGGGGCACCGCCGCCTCTCTGAGCACCCCGCTGCAGCACTCCGGCGTACAAAACTCCTCACACCCAACCTAAACCTCCCCACCCCGCACTCCGAACCCATCACCCCTTTCCCAGCCCCATCCCGCACCTCCCCGCACCCCGAAAACCGCCGCTCTCCCTTCCCCCCACCAGGGGGCGCTGCGGAGCCGCACGGCGCAGGCGCGCTGTTCGGGGCGCTCCGATTCCGGCCGCCGCTTCCTTCCAGCAGGCCCCGGCCGCGCCGGCCCGCGCCCCGCTCCCCGCTCCCTCCTCCCCCTTCCCCCGCACCGCCCGGCCCCGCTCTCCCCCCGCATCCCGGGCCGCGGCCGCTCCGTTCCCTTCTCCCCCCATCCCGACGCGGCTCCCCCGGCTACGAGCGGCCGCGGCCGCCTCTTCCTCGGGGCTGGGAGCCGCCGGGCTGCCGCTCGCCTTCCTCCGCCCCTTCCGTCCCCCCCCGTCTTTTCCCTCCCCCCCCCTCCCCACCTCGAGCACGGAGGGCCCCCGGCGGCGCCGCATGGAGTACCCGGCGGCGGGCTGAGCCCTGCCTGCCCGCGGCCCCTCGGGGAGGTGAGTACCGGGAAAAGGGGGGGGGAAGCTGCGGGACGCCGCTGTCAGCCGGTCCGAAAAGGCTGCGGGGGGACGGAGGGGTCGGGCAGAGCTTCCTCGAGGGGGTGGAAGAACGCTGAGCTCGGCCGGAGGTGGTCCGCACCGGTGGTGGTGGTAACGGAGGGGATGCTTTGTTCCTTTTGGGGCTGCGGTCCTTGGAATCGTAGTGCGGAGAGAGTCCCAAAGGGCCTCCGGTGGAGATCTGTCCGTTGGGGATGGAGATCTTCCATTGGGGACGGAGATCTTCCATTGGGGACAGAGATCTGTCCACTGGGGATGGAGATCTTCCATTAGAGATGGAGATCTGTCCACTGGAGATGGAGATCTGTCCGTTAGAGATGGAGATCTTCCATTAGAGATGGAGATCTGTCCACTGGGGATGGAGATCTGTCCATTGGGGATGGAGATCTGTCTGTTAGGGATGGAGGGGTGGGAGGTGCATCCACTGGAAACAGAGATGTGCCCATTGGGAACAGGAGGTGTGTCCATTGGGGACGGGAGATCTGTCCATTGGGGATGGGAGGTGTGTCTGTTTGGGGAAAGGAGGTACATCCATTGGGGACGGGAGGTACATCCATTGGGGATGGAGGTTTGTCCATTGGGGATGGGAGGTACATCCATTGGGGATGGAGGTTTGTCCATTGGGGATGGGAGGTGCATCCACTGGGAATGGGAGATGCACCTACTGGGGACAGAAGCCTGTCCATTGGGGATGGATGTGCGTCTGCTGGGGATGGAGTTTGAAGGCGGGGCCCCCAGCAGAGGTCAATGGCAGTGATGCATCACAAGCAGGATGTCACCCCCTGGTTCACCTCCCACATTCGTCCATTCCTTTCGGGGTGCACAGAGCCCACGTGCTGCTCCCCAGGAAGGCACTGACACCCTTCAGGACACGGGAAGCAGACCCAAAGGATGTGGCCTTGGGACATGGTGTGTTGGCCATGGGCTGGCGGTCACACTTGGTCGTCGTGGAGGTCCATTCCAACCTTAGCAATTCAATGATTCTGGAGGTGTCATCGGGCACTACGGCCAATCAATGGATAACCACAACCAGCGAAACCACCCAAATTTTGGAGAAAAGGCCCAGGAAAGTTCTGCCACAGCGACAAAGTTGGAAGCAGCGTCTCAGGGCCTCCACCTGCCCCTGAGTATCCCCCAGGCGCTGTCTGTGGTTTGACAGCATCATCTCTCTTTTAAAAAAGCCATCAAAAAGGAACACCACCCCCTTTCCTCTCTGGGGGCCGTTGGCTGGTGCCCGACACGCGCAGTTGGAGGCGCTGAGCCGGAGAGGAGCGGCAGAACCGTCTCAGAGAACTGATGAGATAAAGGAGGAACGTTTTTCTTTCGATTATGGTAATCGTAGGTGTTGCTTGTAATGACAGCTGATAAGATCTTTTGGAGAGCAGCGGGGATGTTGTCTGTTTGGGGGTTGTTGCGTGTCTTTTGTCTTTGAAGTTTGAAGGAGCTCGAGAGGAGCGCGGGGACGGCGTTGTGCTGGAGGCACAGCAGAGCCCTTCCTGCAGGTTCTGAACGTCCCCTGGTCCCTTTTTCTCTCCAGCAGAGCAGCGTGGGGATGGAGCAGCTCCGCTGGGAGCTGTGGGAATGGCTGCTGTGCTGGGATGCTCTCCGCATCCCTCTGCTGCCGGCAGAGCCCCGATGCTCGGCGCTGATCCATCAGCCCGAGGATGAGGTCAGTTCCCCCGGGGGCATCCACCAGGCATGGAGCTTTCTCCATCCGCTTCCGAGGAGAGGAGGAAGTGCTGGTGTCGGACAAAAGGAGATGTCCTCTTACCTTGTTCCGCTTCCCAATGGGTTACCGGGGTGCTGTCAGTGCCTGCTTCCCACTTTGGGGCCGTGCTCTGATCTGTTGTTCCCCAACGAGGTGAGCTGTGCCAGGAGCGTGCAGGTGGTGCCCAATCTCAGCCCCAAGCTCCTTCCTGCCACCCTCGCCCTCCAAGCACACAGGAGCTGCTGGGAGCTGCTGACCGTGCACTGCGGGGACCTTCCTGAGCAACAGGAGGGTGGTGAGAAAGGCAGGAATGGGAAATCTCTCCTGCAGATGTGCACAGCGTGGGGCTCCATGCAAAGTGCCGTACAGCTGTGCTCGTCCCCATGGCAGCTTCAAAGGGGCTGAGGGTCTGCATTCAGCCCATACTTGTGAGCTTGCACTCTGCAGAAGGGCATCAAAACTGCACCTGAGAGCGGTGGGACCCCCAGTTCCAGCAAACAACACCCTAAATTGCAGCGTGGAGGGACAGAAGAGTGCTTTCCTTCAAGCAGACTTCATTAGGATCGCTATGTGAACCCGGCTGATAGGTTATTTTGGGGGGCTGTGTTTTGCTTTGGACCACTTCCTGCAATGGCTCGCTTTGAGACTTCAGATCCATTTAAAGACAGAGATTGAGCTCTGGGATGCTGCATTCCCATGGATGCTCTCTCACAGTACCCATCCCACAGGGGTCCCAATGGAGAGCATCCCCAGCGGTGGGACGAACGGGACGGGGCGGTACCAGGTTTGGGCTGTGAGCAGCAGGATGAGGAACAGTCCCATGTGGGGCTTTTTGGGGGGGGTGCCGAGGAAGTGACGCAGCCCCACAGCTCGGTCTCAGGAGGATTCTCTGCGGGGACGTCCCCAGCACTGCTCATGTGGCCGGGAGGAAAACCACCACCGTGCACAGGGCTGGGTGCTGCGGTGATGGGCGACAGAACAGAGATGTTCCCATGGTGGGAACAGCTCTGAGCATCTCTCCAGACCCTAAAAAATGGGAGCGAGGTGTTGGCAGCTCTCAGCGCCCAGATCTCTTCCTCTCTGCCGCTCTGCCCTCTTATCTTCTTCCTCCTCCCAGCCTTGCCCCTTTGCTTTCGGTTCCTCCTGCCCAAAATACTTCTGGCTGCTGACGGCTGTAACTCTAAAGCACCCGCGTCGTTCTGGCATCACCCCCAGCGGGGGCTCAGGGACGCTCGTGGCCGTTGTGACCGTGGGGAGAGGCCCCATGGTTTGGCCCAAGAAAGCCTCATTTGATGGTGGGGCTGCTGACTTCAGCCAGCAGCCGGCGCGGATAAAGGCGGGTTTGTTCCCCTCCTACGCGCAGAGCAGGATGCGACCCGCGGGGACAGGGCTGCACCCACGCCCGGAGCGCCTCGTCCCGAGGGAAACGGGTTATTTTTCTTCTTTTTCCCTTTGCAAAAGCTTGCTGCAGCGGCGCCGTTCCCAGCAGCTGGCGTGGGGATGTTTTCTTATTTCTTGTGGAGCTTTTTCTCTTCCCGCTTCTGCTCCATCCCGAGCTCTCCTGCTGGGTGTGACGTCTGGAGATGGCTTTTGGTGCTTCCTCAGCGAAAGAAAGTTGTGCTGGCCAAAAACCCCGTTGCAAACGGCGTTCCCAGCCCAATCCTGCACGCACGCACGGAGATGCGGCGCCCCTCGCAGCAGTGGTGCAGTTCTCAGCTGTCCTCTTCCCCCCTGCCCAGGTCTCATGGTACCAAGTGACGCGTCCCTCCCGTGAGATTTGCTCCCCCGAAGCCCCTGAGAAGATGTCAGGGATGCAGGTAAGGTGCCGTGAGCCCCGCGCTCCCCTGCTGCTCGGTGTCAGGGTGGGTGGGAGATGCTCTGACCCACTTCTCACCTCCTTCCCACCTCCTTTTACCCCCCCAGGCCGTTTGGCCATCCGGTACAGAATGTATCGCCAAGTACAACTTCCACGGTACCGCCGAGCAGGACCTGCCTTTCAGCAAGGGAGACGTCCTCACCATCGTTGCTGTCACCAAGGTAGTGGGCCATCGGGTCCCGGGGCAGTGGGTCCCATCCTCCCAACCCCCCCGTGGGGTTCCCTGAGCCTCCCCCTTGTTTTCTTCTGCATCCCACGGGCGGGGAGCCTCGCTCTGCTGTCCCCACAGGCTGGCAATCGGGCCAGGCTTTGGGTTAATTAATTCACGGCCTCGTTAGTTAAAGTTCCTCTGAAATGGAAGCGTCCCAGGCGGCGCAGTGGAGGGGGATGGAGAGAGGCTTGCAATCTGGCTCCCGAGGAGACATCTGTGGGCTGTGACACCTCTGCTGTCCCCACAGGACCCCAACTGGTACAAGGCGAAGAACAAGGTGGGCCGGGAGGGCATCATCCCTGCCAACTACGTGCAGAAACGGGAAGGAGTGAAGGCTGGCATCAAGCTCAGCCTCATGCCGTGAGTCCTCATCACCCCCCAGATGTGGCCCCCTGACCCCGTGGGATCCATCCCGGTGCATTGACTGCTTCTCCCACCCTGCTGCAGGTGGTTCCATGGGAAGATCACACGGGAGCAGGCAGAGAGGCTGCTGTACCCACCTGAAACGGGGCTGTTCCTGGTGCGGGAGAGCACCAACTACCCTGGGGACTACACCCTGTGTGTGAGCTGTGAGGGCAAGGTGGAGCACTACCGCATCATTTACTCCTCCAGCAAGCTGAGCATCGACGAGGAGGTCTACTTTGAGAACCTGATGCAGCTTGTGGAGGTGGGGTCCCGGGGAGCAGGAACCCCCCTTGTCCATGGAGATGCCCAAGGCTGTGGATGGGGCCCGGGCAGCCTGAGCTAGTGAGGGGGACAGCCAGCCCACAGCAGGGGACTTTAAGGTCCTCTCCAGCCCAACCATTCTCTGGTTGCACTTGTGGTTGATGTGGGACTCGCTGCATGCCCTGACCTGTGGCGAGGAGGGGCCATAGGTTTGGGGACGCATGGGTTGGAGTTAAGTTGCTCTGGACTGTGGGAAGTGGTGGAATCTTCTCTGCATCCCTGTGGGCTGGGTCGGAGGCTGCTGGGCCCAGAGCCTTGGGACAAAAGGGGTGAGATGGAAACAGGGATAGGATGGGCAAAGGCACCAGACCCCTGAGCCGGTACTGGTCTCATCTGTGGCCTCGTGCTGCCACCTGGTGGGGTCTCAGGGCCTGGCATCGCCCTGGCAGGGACCCCCACCAAGTCCCCACGCTGTCATCTGTGGCTGTGGGTGACCTCCTGGCCTCTCACCCCCGTCTCCCCTCCAGCATTACACCACGGATGCTGACGGTCTCTGCACGCGCCTCATCAAGCCGAAGGTGATGGAGGGGACGGTGGCAGCTCAGGACGAGTTCTCCCGCAGTGAGTGGCCGTGCCCCCTCCCCACCTCCCATCCCCGTCCTTGGCACCCCCTCATCCTCATCCTTCCCACTCAGGTGGCTGGGCCCTCAACATGAAGGACCTCAAGCTGCTGCAGATCATTGGCAAAGGGGAATTTGGAGGTGAGCAGCGCTTTGGCCGCACGTACCCAGTGCCATAGGGTCTCCTGTGCTGGGGAGAAGCACGTCCCCATGCATCCCAGTAAAGGGGTGATGCTGGGAGGGGTGCTGGGAGGCCATGGCTCATCCCTGTGCCCATCCATCCTCCCCCACAGATGTGATGCTGGGTGATTACCGGGGGAACAAAGTCGCCGTCAAGTGCATTAAAAACGACGCCACAGCGCAGGCTTTCCTGGCAGAAGCGTCTGTGATGACGTGAGTATGGCTGGGGGGCAGGGGGGGACAACACGCACAAGAGATGGCAGTGGGAAAGAGTGTGTGGATGGAGGTGGTCTCCATGCCCTCCTGCTCCCTGCCCTGAGCCCTCCTCTGCTGTGCAGGCAGCTCCGACACAGCAACCTGGTGCAGCTGCTGGGGGTGATTGTGGAGGAGAAGAGCGGCCTCTACATTGTCACTGAGTATATGGCCAAGGTGAGAGCTGACCAGAGGGTCCTCCCACACAACCCCAACCCTCTTTCTCCACCTCCTTTGCCCCCCAACCTCTTGTTCCCCTGGGCTATGACCCCAGTTGGATGCTACCGTCTCCCCATCCCAAGCCCTGGGCTATGTGGGGCTGGCAGTGGGACGCTGCCCCCAGCAAGGTGCTGGCACTGATGGCACCATCTCTCTCTTGTCCCTCCAGGGCAGCCTAGTAGATTACCTGCGGTCGCGCGGGAGGTCGGTCCTAGGTGCAGACTGCCTGCTCAAGTTTTCCTTGTAAGTACGGTGGGGCAGGGGGATCTGAGCATCCTGATGGATATCCCTCTTCCCTGCAGGGGAGTGGGAGCTTTAAAAGTCCTTTCCAACTCAAACAAGTCTGTGACACAGGGATGGTCCTGCTTGCTCTGCCCACCTCACCCCATGCCCTGCTTGTTCCGGGGCTTGAAAAATGAGGAGAGGAGAGGAGGGATGGGGGGGGATGCGGTCCCCAGAGATCACAGAATGGTTGAGGTTGGAAGGGATGTGTCATCCAACCCTCCTGCTTCAAGCAGGGCCGCCGAGAGCTCGCTGCCCTGATGTCCTCAACCACAGGGCTGACGTGCGCCCGTGGCTTTTTGTAGCCACGGTGCTGGTAGCCAAATTCCTAACGCCTCTCTGCCGCCCGCCAGAGATGTCTGTGAAGCCATGGAGTACCTGGAAGCCAACAACTTTGTCCATCGGGACCTGGCGGCGAGGAACGTGTTGGTCTCAGAGGACAACATTGCCAAGGTCAGCGATTTTGGGCTGACAAAGGAAGCGTCGTCCACTCAGGACACGGGGAAGCTGCCTGTGAAGTGGACGGCACCCGAAGCACTTAGAGAAAAGGTGGGAGGAGAGCTGTCAGAGCGAGGAAACACCTCGAGATGTCCCACTTTGCACTTGAACCCCGCTCACGGCCCTTTCTCCCCGCACAGAAATTCTCCACCAAATCGGACGTGTGGAGCTTCGGGATCCTCCTGTGGGAAATCTATTCCTTCGGGCGAGTGCCTTATCCGAGAATCGTAAGTGGAGGGGGAAGGCTGAGGGTATTTTAGGGGATAGGAAGCAGCCCCCTGACCCCTGTCCCCTCAGCCCCTGAAGGACGTGGTGCCCCGGGTGGAGAAGGGCTACAAGATGGACGCACCCGACGGCTGCCCAGCCATCGTCTACGAGGTGATGAAGAAGTGCTGGACGCTGGACCCAGGGCACCGGCCGTCCTTCCACCAGCTCCGTGAACAGCTAGTGCATATCAAAGAGAAGGAGCTCTACCTGTGAGAGGGCTCTGGGGGGCACCTCCACCCCCAGGGGAGGAGCAGGGGGGCTCTCCCAGCCCACACAGCACAGAGGGCCACCCATGGGAGCGGTCGGAGGGAACCCAACCACAGGGCAGCCCCTCCTGGTCTCTTCCAACCTTCCAAATCGGTCTTCGTTGGGTTTTGTTTTGTTTGTTTTGTCTCCCAGGCTTTTTTTTTTATTATTATTTTTTTTTTTCTCCCCCTTGATTTTGGGGTGTTTTTTTTTGTTTGG